CGAAATTTGCCGCTGACTTATTCCACCATCTGCTTGACCAACTATCCTTCCTCTAACAAAATCTGACAATTCGAGAGAACCTTGAGTTGTAGGCATGTTGTAGCACAAGATAATTAGTGTGCGGCCCATTTTCATTTATATAGTGCTCTGTGAACACAAATTAGTTAGCATAAATCACTTAAATGACGAAAAATTAGGTGTCTATTTACTTGTGACCACTCAGTATATATATATATATTCGAATTAGTTAAACGTATGTCCAAGAAATTCTTTACTCTACAGAGATCATAGGCATATTATAAACACTATATTTAGTTCTCTTCTTCTTGTCAAAAGTCCACTTCGGCCTATGCAACTGCATTTGAATTTCAGTTGAAATGCCAAACTACTTTTTTCTATTTCTATCGCAATAGTGTTCCGTGTATAATAAAATTATAGCGTGAATTACCACCGTCATATGCTTATCTTCCAGTAATCGTCTGGTCTTCCTACTTCAGATATCGTCTGTTCTTTTTGTCAAAGTGCACTCAGGCTAGTTCATTTACTTTAGAAGTTGCTTTGACGGAATAAACTACAGTTCTTATCTCTTTTTAAAACTGTTAGTCTTACTCTAACATATTAAACGTTAGGCCTTTTACTCCTACGACAGTTAACTTTACGTTTAACTTTTCTTTGGCCATACTTGTACTTCCCATGACTTTACTTTCTCGTCTGCTCTGCCTGTCTGCTGTTCCTGCTCGTCTCACACTATTTATATATTTATCACATAATCATCTGCTCGCCTTCTATAAATCTCTATATCACGAAATCAATAAATCGCACGCGACGTTTGATAGCCTCAACGTCACTGAATTATAAACACAAGGTACGATTCTTACCTACCCAGTTACTAAATTTGTCATAACGTTTACTTTAAAATAATTGCTTTTAATTCTCTTGTTATGAAAAAAAACAACAACTGAACAATCATGAAATATTCACTCAAAAATAAATTCATTAATAATACCTACACTAAACAGTCTTTTATCTCATGACACACAGTGTATACCATGTTTTAAGTATATACGAAGTATATGTATGTTTTAAAGCTAATACGAAACTTTGGTAATAATGAATACTGTATTATATCTTATAAGTAAATTTGTAAAAATTAGGTTAGTTGTGTTATTTATCATAGCATCCACATATTTTTTAGTTCATAACACGGGCAAAGGAGGGTACCTAAGCTTGTGGTTAATAAATATAAACTCAAAAAAAAATGTGGATCTACTTTTGATATTACTTGGAGAAACATATATTGATATGCAGGGCTGACGAGAGGGTGGGGGTGGGAGGCTGGTGTCTGTTGAGGGGCCCAGCAGTGGGATATTCCAAAGCTCAGTAGAAATGCATACTATTTAATGGGCTATAATGGCTACTGCTTTTTCATGGATTACTGAAGAAATTTGTCATCTAAATTTCTTCTATGAAAAATCAGCAAAAGTTAATAAATAGAATGAAAGGGGGTCCCGATGATATTACTGACCCCACAGCCTGGGCTGGCTCTCGACGGCCCTACTGACATGACCAATACTAAATAACCTATATGCAAATAAACACCATAACAGTACTTACTATATATATTCTTGTTTCATTATTTGAAGCCTTTTACAATAGCCACAAAGGCTTGTTAAGTGTAAATGTACTGTAATTTTTAATAAGAATAAATTTAAAACGTAATAAACAAACCTGTTCTCCACCTTGGTTATTATTGTCCTTTATACATTTTTCAAGATTAAATCTTTCATTCTGTCCCCGAAATCGAGTATCAATGCACAAATTACTTCCAGCATTTCGAATCTGGTACAAAATATAAAGGTACAAGTTTATCAGAACTTTCACATGATAAGTTGTACAAAACGTAAACAATTAATTAATGTAAACAATCAGAGTATTGTGAACATAGATATGACACCTATATGTATAAAGAAACAAATAAGTAACATAACACATTATAAAAAAAAACTATCTAATTAAATAGTTTCGGTGTGGTCAACAACTTTTATACAGAAAGTAACTTACTGAAAGGAGACTGAAAGAGACAAAGAGTACAAATGAATGTATGTTGTTACAAGAGGCAACAATCAATGAAAACTTTAATTACAATCTGACATAATTAACATATTGTCAATTACATTTGCTTTCTATATCTCTTCTTCAAACTTTCTACATTTCCTCTTCCAAACAAAACCATAGAAAATATTCCAATCTAATGGAAACTTAATAATGAAAAGTTTCTAACTTATAATGAAAATGAACAGAAACATAACCTGTTCATTAATATTTCCTTAGTCACAAAATTAGCTTTCATCACAAGTAAGTAAAACCTTATGAAATGTACAATATGAAAATTCAAGTTAATTAATCCTTGATTAATTAAATGAAAAACATATATATTTTAGTTTAGAAGGAAGCCATCTGCATGTAACCCAACAGTTTCTTCTTTCTTAATGGTACTTCATTTACACAAAGTATTTTATTTTATAACCTTAATACTAAAATGATACAAGTTTCTAAACTTGGGTTTAAAAGTGATTATTAGTTACTTAAAGTTATGAACCATAATTAATTAATTTTCTAAAGTACAAAACCTTACACCAGAAAATGTTAGATACAGAAAGATTTATATACGTATTGTGTTCTTAAGATATACATTAGATATAAATAATTTTTAAGGTTAAAAAAATTCCAATGTACAAAAATATAAATATATAGGGATGTTATAAAGTCAATATGAGTACTTGGAACAGTCTGTAGAATGAATAATGTGACTATGTAACATATGGGTGAAATATTTTGCATGTATGCAAAATGAATCATAGGAATACATTATGCTGGTCTAAATGTTAAATGCTGCCACCATCATTCATAATCATCAGTCCTGACAATAGGTACTGAATAACACAGCATGTAATATGTTTACAGGAATTGCTCAAACTTCTGTCACAATGACATCCTGCAGATAAGAAATAGTTGTTGGATTATGGTGATATACTGATACCTTCAGAAAACTCCATAAATAATAGTCAGCAGAGGGTGAGGCTGGGGAAGCTTAGTGGCCATGCAAGATGGAAATGGTAGCTGACAACCTGGTCCTCATCAAAAGTCTGCATAAGCTGTAGCCCACATCTTGTGTTAGAACAGCAATATAACCAGAGTGCCACCTAAGTATTAACCCATTCACTGCAGCTGGGACATATATTGATAGTACAGCTCTACCAATGAAGGCTGATGTTCCAAACTTAACATTGTTATGCCTTTCACTAGTGGCAAAATCACAACTGTATATTCCATGCTGTGGCTAAATACCAGGATAATTTACATTTATTTATATGCAATGCCCTTAGTGAAATATCAGATGTGAGTAAAGTGCACTTCCCATGATCTTTTCTACATGTGCATAAAATATATTGCCTGAAAATTACACAATTCACCCTACATACTGTTTCAAATACCAATATTGACTTTATAGCCACCATGTATGTGCATGTATATCTATTTATTATTTGAACACAAGACATACTACTATAGTATTCTGAAGTGTAATAATTTTGCTTTAAGAGTAATGAAGCAGGAGTCACTGAATAATAGGAAATTTCCACTGAAAACATATTACAAAATGAAATGAAATTTTCTGACCTCAACCAACTGTAAAGCAAAGAAAGAGACTAAGACACAACATACAGCACAGTGGAACGATCTTTATTCAAAATTCAAAAACAATCATAGGTAAACAAGTGTATTTTGTGGTGCCTTTACTGAATAGCACTCTGAATTTGAATGTTAATCTGAATCAATGAAATCTAAATCTCTTTGTCCCAGCTTGAGAAAACATGGAATCATGTATATGAAACAACATTGCAACTGTTCATAGGATGCATGCAATACCCCATTTGACTGTTGGTTTTCCATGAGGTATCACTGACTTCTCAAGTGGAAAATATCACTGTCTATTTCTATAAAGATGCTCCACTCTACAAGAATTTTTCCCAGTTTGTAGTTCAGTAATTAATTAGGGTCAGAGGAACTAAGGGTTTCACTTAACTGACATAATCATTAAGAGTACATATGTAGTATGTATGGAAATGTTGAAAAAAATATTTAAAATAAATAATGAGGCAGGAAACACATAGTAGGTACATATATCATACTACTTGTTGCCAGCAATTTTACATAATATGTTTTTTTTTGTTTGCATTTTCAATGTGTCAAAATATCAAGAGGTTGCATGTTAGATAACTCTGGAGTAGCTAAACTGAGGCAACTAAAGTCAAAGAATTTTGCATATGAAGACATTTTAACTGGCTTAAATGTTGTCATCATAAAGTATTGTTACGACAGCGGAAGTCACATGACGCTGGTCACGCATGCGTGACTTAATTTACTCGAATTATCAGGGAACTCCTCAAATTTTGTCGAAGCCTGGCAAGAAAAGCCAGCGGACGATGATGAATGTATGATTATTAAGCGAGCAGTAGTTATGGTTTTTCGGGTAATATAAAGTGTGTGTTTTGTACTTGTAGAGAGCGAATTTATTGAGGTTGTGAATCACTGTGATTTATAGTGTATTATAAAAGTCCTTAAGTTGAAAGTGATGAGAAATGTACTTTCTGTGGAATTACTGTGTACTAAAAGTTTGTATCGAAAAAGAATAAACTGGTTTAATCAAGAACGGACTTGTATCGCTGAAGATCCTCGGAAAGAATTTCTACCGGAAACAAAAAAACAAGCAGATACGTATATAGTATAATTTGTAAAATTTTTGATAAAATTATAGCGAATTATAGCGTTTGTTATAGCACGACTGTTGAAATTAAGTGTATCGGAAAGTTATATTCAGAAAGAATAAACCAGTTTTATTTAAGAAAGGACTTACGTCGCTAAAGTTTCATCGGAACGAATTTACAGAAAATTAACTAACGAACGGAGACGTAACAATAAAAATAAAATTAATTTTCACATTTATCTTAAAGAATCTAAGAACAGGAGCACATAAGACACAAATTTTTAGAATATCTGTATCAAAACTAGCAACAAAAAAGGTAAGAATCATCAAACCCTTATAAATCTGAAGTATCATTATATAAGTATAGCCAAATAATATGCTTTTATTAAAAATGTCCTTTTTTTTAACGTCAACATAATAAGCTTAAATAAATAATCAACATGACTGCTCTGATTGGAAATTAATCTTAATTTATATTATTATTAATAATGTATACTCAGTTTAATTTATTTTAAAACTTCATAATAGGTAAGAAACAAAGCAAAACAAGTTATTACTAATTATAGAAAATGATAAGTGAAGCAAAGTAATAACACATCAAAACAAATAGGTGGTTAAATCCTTCAGTGGATGCATTCCATAATCTTATTGTATATATATATATATATAATATACAAACCTTTTTGTGTATCATGACTCCATGTTGAGGAGTAAAGTGTTTATTCACTAAAACTCAGTTATTATTAGGGTGTATTTATATATATGTAACAAACATGCAAAATTCAGTAAAACATAAATTTAATATAGAGATGTATGAATATCAAATATTTATGTTGAATATACTCTCACAAATAAGTTGAAAATCTTATATCATTACATAAAAAGATACTTCTCATTACTATGTCATTATTTCCAAAGTATATCAAACTACCTTTAAGTATAACTGTATCATAAACTTGGAAAAAAACTCTCAGAAACAAAACACGAATAGATCCTTACTTCTCCTTTTGCATAGTCCGGTGGTTCCACAGGAGGATACTTCTTTGGTTGGTCAAAGGCAACATTTTCCAAGAACCATTTGAAAGGCTTACATTTTAGTTTCTCTCTCAAAGCTTTCTGTTTAGAAATATTTCCTGGATCAATATTACGATAATGAGGCCGACGTTTGTAAAGGTACTCTTTATATTCATCCATCCAAACTTCAGCTACTCGCTTATAATTCTACAAACATATACCAATATCTCAAATTGTATAAAAACATCATACATTAACAAGCAAACTTAAGATAAAGATAAATGTTTGTGCACACTCCCTGATCAAATTAATATTATGTATAATATTTTATAACATATCTGAAACTAACTACAATACTTGTATTTGAAAATTCAGTATTTACTTCACAAACAGAAAGTAAGCATGATGCTACAATATTTTCAATTAGATTTCTGAAACAAAAATTTTCAAAATATTAAAGACTCACCCTAGATTAACAAGAAAGTGATATCTAGACAATTTTTATTATCGACTATTTTACAAAATAACATTTTTTTGTTTGTTTTTTGGTAGAGTTGTTAAGCAATATGAAAAAATGTAGTTTTTAAAAAAAATAATTTTCAGTCTAAAATTACACATTTAGTGGTTTTATCAATACTGTAGGTCAAGACATGGATCACTAACAGTTTAGGTCATGCATTAGTTTTGCATGTTAACTGATATGTGTTTATTTCAGTTTTCAGTACGATAACTACAGCTTTACTAGGAAATTAGTTCACAATCATTAAGTCCCTAAAAAGGAGTTTTGTTAGATACTTACCCTGCCTACAAAATCTCCTATGCCTGGATTTGGAAAAGGAGCAAACTTTCGATAGATGTGACCAATCCTTGAACATGGTGCATCAACCATTTGTCCACCACACTGCCAGATCTTAAAAGACAAGTCATACTGTTCACCACCCCACACATCCAGTCCCTCATCATATCCTCCTAATTTCCAAAAGAATTCTCTGTCAATGGCAAACAATCCCCCTGCCATAACAGGACTTCTGTTGAAAACAAAAAAAATGTCCAAAATTTTTATAAAATCCACAAATCATACAACACATTTAAGAATGCCATTTAAAATTAATAATGCATAGGCTCAATAACAAAGATCTGGTAAAAAATAACACAACTACTAATTTGCACATAAGAAATTAGAAATTTCTCAAAAAAAAAAACTTAAATAAAATCAAATAATGATATATAAATATTCATCAACAAGAAAAACTACAAACGAAAGAAATATTTATTAGTGCTGATATAAATTCATCTATTCATCATGTTAAATAGAAACTGTCACATCCAAACAGCCAATTAAGAAGACGACAAATATGAAAAAGTTGTAAAAATATATCAGCAATAAGCTACTAGTTGTCAAAGTACTAATTCATTTCTCTGACATAAAAATTTAGAGTTTGTTGTATAATCTAATAAGAATTATTATATGCATCTGTTTGTGCAAGGAGTGATGAGCGTAACACTATATAAACATAAACAAACAAACCTAAAAGGCTCAGTTGGATGTTGTAAGTCTTCTGGCAATAATGGTAGGCGTTTGTAATAAAGTTCCCAATCAAAAGAGCCCCGAGCCCCCTCATCCTGAGCTCGGTAGGCAAAGGTTTCAAAATCAACAACATCTATAAAAGGACAAACCACAGTATGATGGTCTTGAGCTATTGGTTCTGCATAAAGAGAAGAAAGTGATCTTGTATTACATAAGAGTATTGAATACTATATCAAATCATTAATTGTTTACCATATCAATAAAACATGAATGCTATACACAATGAAAATATAAAGAATCATCCACTTTGTGTATTTCTGATATGATATTCAAATATTTATCTGTAGTTTGCTTGTTGAAGCATGCACAATGTTTTTCTATAATCTCCCAAAATCATAGGAAACAAATTTTATCTATATGGTAATGATGGGCAGTTTCATCAACTGAAAAGTCTGGGCAAAACAACTTAAAATAATAACATCTATAAGAAGTTATAAAAATGTAAAAGATTAATTTCTGTTAGTTATGTTCAAAAGGTTTAATGCTATGCAAGATTTGAGACCCACATATGGTTGTCTTTACAGGATAGCTATACATTATTTTTATTTAATTCAATGGTATTTAAAATACAAAACAGCACACTAAAAGTTGAACAGTATTAACCTGCTATTATAGTTATGATAAATACACATTTAGCTATATTAATAAGATTTTTCATTCCTTTTCTTAATAAGAGAGCATTCTGGTGATAAAAAGTTTGTTTTTAAAAAGATCCCATAATTAATTTTGTCATACATAATTGAAATTACCCCAATGAATAATTCAGAAGACACTGGATGTACAAAATAAATACTTTTAATACACCTAGTAATAACTAATCATGGGTCTGCACTTTTCTACCGCTACAAAAAAAAAGAAAAAAAAAAGAATGGACATGAAATAAAATAAAATCATTAGACAAGAAGTAAATAAAACAATAGAAATCAAATTTTTGTGAAACAATCTGCTCATTATATTTTTATAATATGTGTGCCAACCCATGATACACTCTTTACAGGTTAATCTTAGTTTGGAGCCCTGATCTAAGAGGGGAAAATTAGTATGTATCTTTATTCATATCTGCTGAAATAAAAAATCTCCTTATATTTTTTACCTAAGAGTGGTGGCAGCCAATTGACATTAGCTTCTGTGTGGGAGTCCAAGAATATTACTACATCTCCTGTTGCTTCATGGGCACCAATCAAACGAGCTCGAATAAGACCTTCTCGCCTTTTGGCTCTAATCACACGAACATTGTTAAAGTGTTTTTTGATATAGTCTTCAAGGGCTGTTTTAAGTTCCTCTGGAAGACATAAAATATGAAAAGAAACGACTTCAAACAATATTAAATCACATTCATCTAGAGAAACAGATATGAAAGAACAGAGTCAAGATATCACAATGGACCTCAGCTGCTAAGAAGTAAGTTATTTTTTCAGGCTTGATGTTTAACTAGTATTGGTTGATTTAGTTCAAAGTTTTCAGTCTACCAGTATACACTGAACTGTAATGATTATTTTGTTTTTTTGTTTTACAGTCCTCACTTTTGTTACAGATGCTTATGAACCTTTAACTGAATTGTTACACCTAACCTAATATCATTTTTAATCCCAGCATGCAGAAAACTGATAGTCTACTATTTTTACTTTTATAATACTGTGTACTGATCATCTGATGATGGGCTGTTTTTCATATCACAATGAACTCCTACTTCAACACAGAGCTATTCCTACCATGCTAAATACTTCTAGTACTTTATATGTTATGCTGAGCATTAATTTTAACATAAATATAGAACTGCCTTTAAGGTTAACCATAAATTACATCCACAACATTAAAAAAAATGTTTTTTTTATTTAGGTATCTGATAATATCTAATACCAAAAAGTTGTCTGTACAATAACTGTATTAAATTTTTGTAATAAATAAAGGTAAATATCGTGACTCCTTAAAGGTTTGATTTTAAATTTTGTTTCTATAGTTACTACCTCACCTTTGCTGCTAAAATCATCAACCAAAATGACTTCTTTGACTAGACCAGGTGGTGAGCGATTTAATACACTGGTGACAGTACGTAGTAAGGTTGTCCAGTGTTCATTATGAAAAGGAACTACAACACTAGCTGTCGGTAGTTTGGAGAAATATATTTTACTTTTACACCTGTGCAATTAAAACAATATTCATGTTAGACATTTTAGACCTTTTATTTATATAATGACAATTAGAGACCTTTCTGTAGCTAATGATGAAGTATACTTTATGTGCTTCAACTACTACAAAATGTTTCATTTAAATACATTAATCAATTATATGCCATCAAAATTTGGAACATTTCAAGAAAAAGGGGGTTATAGATTAAGTTTGAAAGGTTTTTTTTATATAGACATTAACCTTAGCAACATAACATGATTCTGAGATTCAATTAAATATGTTGTAAAACTGATATTTAGAAATAAAAACATAAATAAACAAATGAAGGATAATAGTGAAATTATATAAGTTTGTTTAGTTAAAATACTGTTAAGAGACTGAAACAAAATCTATAATTCAAATCTTTTTGAAAAACAAAGGTGTTTCACACTGGAATTTTTGCCAAGTTTAGGATGATTTCCTTTTTTGGGAACTGTTCTAAAATCAAGTACTGACATCAAACATTGGTATTATCTGCTCAACTTAAATTAAAATAATTTGAAAACAGTAACTATAAGTTCCTTTAATCATATAATTACTCTATTATAAAAAAATAAAATTTTTTGGGAATATACAGGTTCACTATTTATCTTCTAGTTTTTCTGTATATAGCATTTTTTAATTTGCACTTTTCATGTAGTGCTAGAACATCCTATAATTAACTATTTTAATTTCAAGATAACAGATACAGTTGGACTTTAAATGAGTCACATGAAGTACTTTTTGAAATCTATTGAAAGCAACAACAGTAACTTGTTTCATTTCATTAAGCTATTATATGTGTGTCAAATATTATTCACATTATGATATAAGTTTTATGAGGAACTGTTGAAGAAAAACCTCAGCATATAAAACTGTACGAAGTTACAATAAGTCTCAGCATTTGGTTATGTAAATCATGATTTTTGGTAAGCCATCATTTTTGAGTAATATCACAAAAGGTATTCAAGACTGGAGAAATGTGTTTGGTATGTCTATAAAGAGTTTTAAATGTTCACCCTTTTTAACATGCTTGGCTAAATTAACATTAATTATGTGTTCATATGTCTATTGTTTCAAACAAGTTAAAGTTTGCTAAATATTATTAGAAATATGTGTAATTAAAACACAATTATTAAGTAAAAGAGAGAGAGAGATGTAGATTTCTGCTTTCACCTTGATACCAAGCATTAATTTGTAAAACATGCCTTGTTTATTAAAAAATCAAAGATCTTAATAAAACAGGTCAAATATGTTATCTGAAGTTAGTACCATACTAGTACACAGAATTAATCATATCTCATAAAACCATTTGCCTGCTCTAATGCAGTTCTGAGTTTTTACAGAAGGCTATATAGGTACAATGTGTGAAATGTGTATCACCTATTTATTTTGCTTAAGATAAACTCCTAAGCATTCAACAGTTCAATGTCACCATGGGAAGACTTATGGCTGAAAAGATGTGTGGTAGCCCTTTTTGAGGAAGGATATTGATATAGTAAGATTGTTAAACAATATACAGCCAAAAAGCACAACCTTTTAGTGAAGGAAATCTTCAATCATCACCATGGAAGTGGCTAAATTCATGCAGTAGAGCATTTAGGATTGCATTGACACTGAAACCACATTGGAAGCCAATCTATAGTTGTGCTTTATCTACAGAGTGAAGGCTATGGTTACAAAAGAGAAAACCATATGTCCCAAAAATCCATTGCAATGAGGATGAGTATGTTTCCTATTACTATTAACATGGTAATAAGCAAAGATTTGAAAACGATGTAAGCTTGCAGCTCTAATTTCAGAATATTGTTAGACATATCTCAAACTCCAAGTACATTGCCATTGATCTTCATATAAAAAGAAATGTTCCTGAAAAAACTGGATTTACATCAATTCAACCACATACCACAAACACGCATACATTCATACTAATATATATGCATTCAAAAATTAAAATATGTTGAATACAAAAAATAATTGCATAAAACTCGCAAATAAAGACGCAGAATCTGACTGTAAAAATCATTATTTGTTAAAACATCGTCAAGTATTTTAACTTTAAGTAATGAAAACCTTATGAATTTAGGTCTTTGTTTCTTTTTTAATTTTTGCAAAAAGATACACAAGAGGTATCTGCACATAGCCGTCCCTAATTTTGAACTGTTAAATTAGAACAATGTTACTCTAACTTTTCTGTCTGTGTACTACCTGCATTTTTATTCTTTTTATCAACGTAGGCCACAATGGAATCTATACACTACAATGCCTTTTCACTGACCCTCTGAACACTGGTCTAGTGGTCCATAGATCACTGATTGATAAATGTTAAAGACTAAAGCATAGATGGCCAACTTATAGACTTCTTTTTTTTTAATAACATTTTATTTTGGCCAAACTGGCAAAATGAAAAGATAACGAAACCGTGACCAAACAAACCCGTCTCGTGAGTTCTGTAAACTTTCTTCAAATATTATCTCAGTTATTTATTCAAAACCATAATTAACTGGGGGTCTACAGCAGACAGTATGAATAAAAATTTACACTAAGCAAATATTCTAAACGTACTTTACCCAGTCATATATTTTCGGCCCGCAGACTACTGTCTAAGTCAGAAACTGGTCCATAAACATAAATAACTTGACCATCCCTGGACTAGATGGAAAGCAAGTTAGTCAACTCGTTGCAATACTTGGCAGCTTTGAACTGATCAAACAGTGGAATTTGACCTTCACTCTTTATATATAGTATACTCACAGACCCAGAGTGCAGAACGCATTTTTGCGGCAATGGGATGTAAGCCATGAACCCCAAAATATACAGTTTGACTACAATAAAGCCCAGCCTGGAGGGAAAATGTCACACGATTTTGTATCAAGTAATGATATTTGCTCACGTTACGTTAAAAAATGATCAAATTACTAAGATAAAACAGCACACAAAAATGTGCTTGTAATTATTCTTTATGTGTGTGTTATAGCAAAGATACATTGGACTATCTGCTGTGTCTACCGCGGACAATCGAACCCCGGATTTTACCGTTGCAAGTAAGTACACTTACCGCTGTCCCACTGGAGGACGAAATTAGTCTGTTACGTGCAACACATACTTCTACTTCCCACACGCTAATTTCAAAGGCAACACTAAAACTCTCCCAGTTGTTAAGGCCATCAAACCACGACAGGCATCCTAGTGTTCCTTATTTTATTACGCAGAAAAATGGGTAGGAAATACCATGAACTTTCAGTTTGTTTTTCTGAATGTATTGTTTCGAGAACTATTGTCACCTAAGTAACAATATGACATAACTCTGTACTTCAACCACCAAAAAGAAAAGTATTGTGAGACAATGTCGAGATAGTATTTGAACTAATCTCTTCTTTTGTAATGAAAGATTTGTATATAAGTAGAAAGGTTATAGGAATAAAACAATTTAAAAATAATGTATTTGGCGAACCTCAGTAGAAAAAGCGCATGTTATGGTATTGGCCCCATTATAGGGCAATGTTTTTTTTTTTTATTGATAATTAGGCTGTAATATTCATAGTCGCCTTATAATCGCGGCCGACCACAGGACCCTACACCCTACTCTAGCCTGTCCCATTCCTGTGCATGTGCGTCAGATGTTCACTGAAGGTCATTGCTAATTCTTGCAACTAATCCACCTGCAGACTATTAAGTTATAGTTATGATTTTACTGATCTCAATTTTTTTTCCTTCCCATGGTTTCTAAAAATGGGGATCCTCTTATATTCGAGATCGCCCTATAATCAGGCCAAAATAAATATAAAGTGTGCTGTTGATATAAACATTTTTAAAAGCGATAAATTCATACTTAAAGCTAAAAAGAAGGTTAATAAAAAACTGGATTTAAACTTCGTTTATATCCTGCTTCAAGTTTTTTGTGGATTTTATTTTATTGCTCAGAAAAGTGTATATATGATATTAATTTGGAGTAAGCCCGATTCTATTAAAATACTTTTTTTATTTTAATTATCATGTACATTAAATATGGATCACTCTCCAAGATACATTGATGATAATATTCTAAAAGCACAAACACACCGCTCGCCTCCCCCCCTCCCCCCAGTGGTAAGTCTGCTGACGTATATTGCCAACAAGAGGGAATCTTCAAAAGCCGCGGCACTTGAAATTCTTTTAAGCAGGATTAGAGAAATCTATGAGACTCATCAAGATCTCTACCAGGCTACCCTCAAATTGAAATTCATTTAGACAGGATTATAGTAAATTAATCTATGAGCATTTTTATCTATCTATTTTATTTATCTATTTTATCTGGGCGTGATAAAATACTCCAATCGAAAGGGTTTCAGCTCCTGGATCCAAAACTGTAATTAGATCTCAAATCGGTCAAGAGATAATGGAGCTATAAGCTAAAAGTTTGTACTTCGGAAACTCGGTCATTCTAGCCGTTATACCGCGGCTAAAAATCGGATTTGGATACTTGTGGGGAATGGGACAGAGCACAGATAACCCATTGTACAGCTTTGTGCTTAACTACAAACAAATTTACCGCTCTGGCGGGAAGACATTTACGTGTAATTTACAGCCTGTGGCATAATGTTAGATATCTTGCGCAACAGCAACCATGCGATTGTTTGTTTGTTTTGAATTACACGCAAAAATATAAGAGGGCTATCACGAGAGCTAGTCATCACCATCCACCGCCAACTTTTGGGCTACTCTTTTACCAACGAATAGTGGGATTGACCGTCACAGTATAACACCCCCACGACTAAAAGGACGAACATGTTTGGTGGGACGTGGATTCGAACCCGCGACTCTCAGCTTGCCAGTCGAGCGCCCTAATCACCTGGCCATGCCAGGCCCAACCATAATGGGCATTTGTCTTACAAACACATTAAACAGTCTATAAACTGCTAATAATAGGCACGGTTCAAACAAAAACCCCAAACAGCTTGTCAAGTAATCATTTGTTTGTTGTTAATTTAAGAGCAAAGGTTAATTCATAA